ATTGAGTAATTAAAAGGTGTAAATAGCATGCCGTACACAATACCAACAAATATTCAGCGAACAGTATAAGCTGAAATACTGTGACTATCTATAGGCTCAAAATGCGACGGAAACTTAGGCATTAGAACATCAAGAAGAACTAGTGTTAATATTTTTCGTCCCTTCGAAAAAACAGGCTCTCAATCAGAACAGAGAAAGAGACGGTTAGAACCTCTGAAAATGAAATATAATAAAATAAATTAAATATTTAATAGGCGAAGCTTGTGGAACCCACAAAGATGTTTCTCTTCCAACCCAAACTATTAATGAAGACAGAAGATTACAGAAAACAAAGACAAGCAGGCATATATTAAACAGTGCAACGAAAAAAAAATAGAAGACAAGTAAAGAAAAAGATGAAATAGAACGAAAGGCATAAAAATGAAATCAGAAAAAAGTAAAAAAGAGACAAACGAAAATGAGAAAAGTAATCAAAACGTCATCAGGCAATATAAAATAAATTACTGAGAATGAGATTACAACTAGGTAGAAAACCCTCAAAACTTAATTCCTCGTTTCCGTAGGCTGCACCGAATGCCATAATGAAGACGGATTCGTGAATCAAAGGATCGTCTATTGTTTCCTCACGGTCGCGTAAAATCTTCATGTGCCTGCTGTCAGAACGGTGTAGATTATAGCATGCTTCACAATAGCACAATGTTGACCACGTTCACGTTCGAAAGTTGCCAACTATTTTTTCAGGTGGTTTATAACACATGCTTTTGTCATACTAATGCAAATTATTTGACAACCTTTGCAATCCATTTGGTACAGAGGCGGTTTTAAGCAAGTCGTTTCTTGTAAACTGTTCGCCATACAAAATGTTTTGCAAGGTGATGCCTTTTTCATAAAAGACACTGAATCGATCTTACTTAGACAATGATTAACGGGCAGATTATGTAGCTGAGTGTCTTATCAGAGTGGGCACACTCACACGCAGCATTCCCTTTGTAATCTTACACGACATCAGAGGCTGTTCATACACTCGAGTATGTGAAATAACGAACAACTCCCAAAAGATCAGATATCGTGGAGTACTGCACTGCTCTCGTACTCCTAGTTGCCAAGAGTGCCATTTAATTAGGACGCGGCTTCATGATATTTGAGCGCCTGTTGTGCCAGATGCACTAACCACCATTCTGATGTTCATATGAAAGAAATCAAAGAACATCAGATCCTGAAATATCGTTTGTGATCAACTGTAGGTGGAACTAGTGGATATGATGTGACATGCCCTTGGTGCCACAGGTGCTCACATACCACGGAGTCTTGGCTTTCTTCCCATGGCAACTACTAGGAAGGGACAGAACAGCGAACGGCGAAATCTGGTCTTAAACGAGTCATTCATTATTTGTTATTCGTGTATATATATATACATATATATCATCCACTCGAGGCGAACCACGCGGATTTTACTGCTCATTGTTTCCGGGTAGAGCGGAAGTCTGGAGGCTTTCTGATCACATCGCCAGGTGTGCATTTTTGGACAAGCTGGAATTCTATCAACTTTGTCTTCGCTCGTCACCGGCATCAAAGCGACAGCCTTAATGTCTGTGACAAATTGTGTTAAACGGCGGTTCTGACACAGGTTTTAATAGACAGCACCAAAGTACGCGCTCTTATGTTAGAGAGCACATCGATACGCAATTAACTAGTCCAATCACCAAATTTTATGGCATTCGAAACTGCGTTCTTGTTGTCATATGCTTAGAACGGCCGACTAAATAGACCGCAGCTCTACGATACTCGAGCACCTAATGTTAGGTGCATCTCATGGCATTTTATTAGCTGGAGCCAAGTAATGAGTGTCAGAATGACAAGAATGTAAGGTCAACTTTGCACCTGGAGATTATGAGGCTTCACCGTACAATGATCAAGAATGTTTTGCATCTGTTTGCGGTTAAAGTTCGACAGCCCAATCGAACGAGTCAATCGCTTGTTGTAGACACTTTCCATTGCCTAAAATATTCCATGTACGCAATGAGTTGATAAAAGCGAAAGTGCCTGCCAAGTTTCCATGTGATCGACCAGGTCGCCTACCAACTCGCCGTTTATAATCGGCAGCAGGTATCCTTCGACGTTCTAAAAATAAAATCGACCTGCAACAAAATGTTTCGTAGACGAACCTGCAATTAACCTTGGTGGCCATCGGTGAATGAATAAGGAACAGGTCGACGTAGTCCATTCTCAGCTTCCTCAGAGACTCTCGAAGACTTCTTTCTACATCTTCCTTGTGATGATTAGACCCCAACAGCTAAAAAACCGTTTTTTCAAAGAATTTTTTCGAACCATTCTGATACCTTTGTAGTAATGAAAATATCGCTTCGGTTAATCTGGCCAGACTGCAGCATCCTGCTGACCACCTCGCCGATATGTTCCTCGTTGTCGTACGCCTGAGCCGTGTCGATCATTCTGTAGCCGGCTTTCAAAGCTGCTTCCACTGCATTTTTTACATCAGGCCCTTTGGACTAAAAATCCATGTTCAAGAATATCCATCGGATAACGTGTTTCTCATTAACTACGTACCTGCCATGTTCCAAGCCCAAGAATTGGCATTTTTTCACCGTTACTCATCGTCACGAAAGTGTCTGGTAACATTTTACCATCCATAATAAATCGATCACTGGTCACAACTTCAATGATATGAAAATTAGTACCTATAAACATTAAAATCTCTTTCTCTCAATTCAATACGGAATCGTTGTTTATTTAATTTTACAACGCATAACAAAGTTTAAACCGTTTCTAGAACTTCAAAAAAAATACCCACGAGGTGAATTTGCAATAACGAAAACAGCAACGAAAAAGTTTCTCCTCTGTTTATGCAAATAGATTACGTGGAAAGAAGAAAGTAAATTCGGCAAGCTGCTTTTCATTCGAAAAACAACTAAAAAAGTAAGGAAACA